CCATATAAGACAAATTGATCAAATTAGATGCAAAACATTATCAAAATTGTGCAGAAAGTCCCCCATGCTATTTTTGTAAAAAGAAAAATTAATGACTTTGTCTTGCATGAACAACATCTTGGCTGTATAGTCAACCAGGGATAGTGTTTTGGCTGCAGTAGAGTTTGAAAGACTTGTTCAGAGAGACAAAGTGTGTTTCGAAAATTGACCATATTTTAAGTGTATGACAGAGTTTTGATTGAGCGCTCATTTTCCAACATCTATTAAATTAGTTTGTTATTATTTTAGTCTATCAAATTTATATGTCATACTAAGTATCTTATTTTCATTATGACTAACAATATAATTTTGTAAGTTTCTGTAAAATAATTTTACAGCTATCATTGATCTCTTCTGAGCTTTTAGTGTATCGTGCTCGATCTTCTCATGCTTTTTTTTTTTTAGTTAAATTTTTTCGATCTCCCTCATAGCCAGGTTGGAATCGACTAAAGAATTGACTTACCTTGAGGGAGATATACTCGGGCTATTCAATTATATTCCTTTAGCTGATGCTGTATTAATTGTGAAGGTAACCAAATATACAATTTGGTTCAGTAACTCCATTATTTAGTAGTTCAATAACTTAAATAGATCGTAAAATAGGTTCTAATAATTCTAATTTTTTTGGGTGGTTAGAATGTTGATGATTTGAAATCAGTACGAAGTTGATTTGATCAATTTAGCAATATAATATAAAATAATTAACAATTGAACGTAAAACAGATAACATAATATATTAATTTGAACAATTATCATTTCATCATAGTATATGTTGGACTGTTATATATTTTATTAATATTTGCTATTTTCTTTTTTATAAATATTTGCTAATTTGGTCAAATAACTAATGCTAATATTAGAATATATTTAACTAAAATCAGAATATATAATTTTTTTATTTAATTATATAATATACTATTAAAATATATATTATACTCCCTCGGTCTGCTCCTGAGTGAAAGTATTTTTACCAATTTTTTTTAATTTGTACTACGTTTTAATATAATAATTAACGCTTAAATATCAACAGACAAAAAGTAAATGTGATTATATAAAATTTGATTTTTCTATAAAATAATATTTATATTAGTAATTTTTTAAAATATCTGAATATATTTAAATCAAATATATATATATATATAACACTATAATCCAATTTACAATGCAACAACATTTCATTATTTATAGCTGCTCATTTCTTTATAAAAATAGAAAGGAAAGAGGCTAAATTTATCTTACGAAAGAAATAATAATAAAAGAGTTTGGATCTGATGTATTAAATTAATTCAGCTTATGCTGAATTAATTTTAATCATTCATTTATTTTAATTAAAAACAATAATTTAATTAATTTAACTTATCAATGACTAAGATTTAATTTAGCAGTGCTGAAATAATGAAATTTCAGCATGCTATCCAAATTGATATTAAAATTTAACATACCTTCTAATTAGGGCGGACCTATTTAGGGGAAGGGAAAATGTTTGAAATAATAATAAAAAAAATAATAATAAAAACATTGTTATGATCCATCTATTTTATTCATAAGTGTCATTTTAATGAAATGACTATCACATTGTTTATTGTAATAGGCCATATGTGAAATAAAATGAAATAAATGAGAATTCACACCATCTACGATAAATGAGAATACAATAAATAGGCCATATGTGAAATAAAATGAAATGAATGAGAATTCACACCATCTACGATTCTCTCTCTATCTACCCGTCTCTCTCTAGACATATATGTCTCTCTCTATATATATACTTGGTTATTTTTGTGTATTGCAAACGCATACATTCAGATGGTCATATTTATATAAATATTCCTTCCGTATAACATCTATCTATCAATTTACTTTTTTTTTTTTTTTTACGAAATTTTAGAATTATTAATATTATATTAAAATATAGTAAAAATAAAGATAAAAAGACTAAATTATCTTTATTAGTAGCAGTATTGTATGATATAAAGTTAATGCCATTTGTGTAATATATTATAAATTGAAAGGATATTTGTAATGTTAAATAGATACTACACTTAATTAAAAGGAAAAATAAATACTTTGTTACAAGATAAACCAAAATGAAAAATGGATATATTGTTGGAGGAAATATAATTTTATATATTATATCTAATTTGATATATTTTATAACACATTATCACCATAAGATTTTGTCGAGAAAATACTAATATAAAAATTACGTATTTTTTTGTTTATTTTTTTAAAATTACTTAAGCAAGTTGAAAATTTGTGTTCGAAGATAATATTTTTATTCCGAAGTTCTGCTCGAATATTATAAAAATATATCAACCTGCCAAAATTCAAAGGTATTTAATTAATTATTTTTCAAATATATTATGACTAACATAATTTTTTATTTTTATTTTTATTTTTCCCACTAACTATTATAAGAAAAAAGTGCTTTAAAATGCCAATAAATAAATTTATTTGAAAATAATACAAACTCTGAAGTTTATATTTTAAAATCCGTAACGGTGTATATTGAGGTGTATACTAAGCACCTTGAAGATGCATATTGTAAAATTCCTCAATATTGTACTATATTGCATACACCGGAAGTACATATTTAAAATTCCGATGATTTATATTTTGAACATTCTAAAGGTGCAATGTGATAATATATATTTAAAACTCCTTATATATAATTATTTTGACTCTCATATTTGGTAATAATATAACAACTATTTATTTTATTACTAAATTGTTTTCTAATAAGATTTTATCATGGGCGTATCCCTTACAATTGATAACAATGGGGAAGTGTTATGATTCATTTATTTTATTATAGGTGTCATTTTAATAAGCTTTCTGGCATTTCATTAAATGACTCGTTAGATTGTTTATTGCCTATAAATAGGCCATGTGAAATAAAATGAAAGAAATGAGAATTCACTCCATTTACCATTCTCTCTCTATGTACTCTCTCCCTCTAGATCTATATTTATTATATATGTATATATATTTATTTATTTATTTTTGTGTATTGCAAACACATACATTCTCATTCGGTCATATATATATAATTGTATACATTTTATAACAAACATCAACTATTGAATTTTTTTTTTTAATGAAAAGTTAAACTATTTTTTATTTTAAAAAATAAAAGGTTAATACTTAGAATATATAGCCACTCATCAGGTTGTAATATGTTAATTATTATAATAAAATAGAAATAAAATATAGTATTTTATAAATAAAAAAATTTATTTTGTAACTTTAAAAAACTTTGCCCAAATTAGACAACTCGCAAGTATAGGCGCAATTTCATTCTCAAATTTCTGGAGTATGCTTTGTCCATAATCTCAATAGTAAAAACACTGTCTTTGCATTCTTCAATATCTCATAATTTTCTACGACCTCTATTGTTTCGATCGCCTCTACATTTCACAACAAACGTATAAATGGAAATTGCAACGACAATCAAAGAATATGAACAAATCAACAACATCTACGCACTAAGAGCAAATGCCGTCGTCGCATTGGGGACAATCGAATCGTCTTCGATTGACGACTTTTATTATTATTTTTTTAAAATTAAAAAATTGAAAATATTTTTTTTTTAGCTATTGTGGATGATTTGAAGTTTTAGAATACGAGCATCGATTAGAAGCCTTGACACGTCACGTCATCTATGGAGGCTTTTTTTTACTCTCTCCGTCCCACATAATTTGTCCATATTTTTTATTTTCGTCCGTCCCACATAATTTGTCCATATTTTCTATTTTCGTCCGTCCCATATAATTTGTTCTTTTCTTTTTTGGAAAATTAATTATACACTTTAATCATATTTTAAAATTTAAAATTTAATTTTTTTAAATTTTAATTAAACTATTTAGTTATGTTAATTTTAATTTATAATTATTTTTATTAATATATTTCTTAATTATTTAATAATTATACTTTACCTAAATTCTTGTGTCTACGGTAATACAGTTATATTACATAGCAGGGAGGGAGCATTTACTAGAACTATTGCGCCTTGGTCTAAGTGATACTCAAAAGATATTCTATATATTTTTAATGCATTTATTTGATATAAAGATTACGCATATAGTCAAAAGATCTTAGATACTATATATTTTTAATTCATTTATTTGCTATATGGCGGAGAAAGAGAGGGATATCCTTGCACATGCCTTTAGCTGTAACTTTTCTAAGAAATTAAACATAAACTAAAGAACGTGCAAGATGCTCCTTGATTTTATTTTTTATTTTATAAATAATATTATATTAATATAATATAATATAAATACAATATAATATATACATATGATATAATTGATTTTGATACAAACAAATACTTTATCGTCTCACATATAATGTCATATTTTCCAACAATTTTATGTCATTTTTATTTTTTGGAAAAGTATTATACATTTTAATCATATTTAAAAATTTTAAATTTTTAAATTTTTAATTATACTAATAAGTTATTTTAACCTTAATATATAATTTTGTATTTAATTATAATTATTTTTACTAATACATTTTTAATTATTTATAAATCATACTCATTCTAAACTTTGACATTATATAAGAGAGAGAATATATTTATAAATGCATGTACGAGGACAATACATACTTTTTAATTTTTTAAATATATAATAGATTTTTAATATTGTATTTTAAGTAATAAAAAATAAATATTTACGCGAGATATATTTTTTGATGGGGCGGTGCGGCTTTTATCCAATAAATATATGTAATAAAAACATTCATTATATATTTCTAGAGAACAACATACAGTTACATACTTATGACATAAAATATATTTTGTTATAACAAAATATATATTTGATGATATAGTCAACTAAAATCTTGATAATGTAAATAAATAGTGATAATGTGACAATAAAGACACCAATCGAAGGAAGGCTGGTAGTTATGCTTCTTCTCTCTCTCTCTCTATATATATATATGTATATATATAGTAACTCACACAATAACAAGAAACACATATACAAAGACTACCATTTTGATCTCAATGGCACTCCCTAATGGAATCACTTCGACTGAAGAGCTTCTTGATGCTCAGGCTCATATTTGGAGCCATGTTTTCAGCTTCATAAACTCCATGTCCTTAAAATGTGTAGTTCAATTAGGCATCCCCGATGTCATCCACAGGCATGGCAAGCCAATGAAGCTTCCGGAATTAGCCGATGCCCTCTCCATCGACCGAGCAAAAACTCCATGCCTCGAGCGACTGATGCGCCTTATGATTCATTCCAAGTTTTTTGTTGGCACCAAAATCTCCGAGGATAGCGATCAAGATGGATATTGGCTCACGCCGTCTTCCCGGCTACTCCTGAGGGATGAGCCGGCCTCAAGTTTGGCGTCATTTGTGCTCTACCGTGTGGACCCGAATATCATGGATCCGTGCCATTCTATGAGCAAATGGTTTAGGACGGATCATGGCACGCCGTTTTTCACTACTTATGGGATGGAAATTTGGGAATATGCCGGGAAAGATGCAAGGTTTAATATGTTATTTAATGAGGCTATGGCTAGCGATGCTCGATTGGTGTCGGGTATACTCATTAGGGATTGTAGGCATATTTTTGAAGAGTTGAGATCGATTGTGGATGTCGGAGGGGGCGTGGGAGTTGTGAGCAAGGCTATCGTTGATGCCTTCCCGGGCTTGAAGTGTACCGTGGTCGATCTCCCTCATGTTGTTGCCGGATTGGAATCGACTAAGGACTTGATCTATCTTGAAGGCGATATGTTCGAGTTTATTCCTTCAGCTGATGCTGTATTTATGAAGGTATGCATATATATTCTACTATTCAGTATACATTTTTTAATAAAAATATACTATTTTTTTCACATAAATTAAATATTACATCAAAATACTATTTAAATAAGGATTTAAATAAAAAACTAAATTTCAAAACCAAACCTTCTTGTAAGGGTAAAATGATAGTTTGGTCTATTAAGCCAAATATTGTTGAGAGATAGAAACAACTCGTACACTAGAAAATAGTATTTTTGTAACAAAATTTTTTTGTCGCTAAATCCATTTTTTTCATTACTAACGACATTATAGACAGAATTATGATAGAATCACGTTAACTACGTAAACTTTAGACACGAAATTCTGTTACAAATATATTATTTGTTTTTTAGTGGTAAGTTCACATTATGTATATAATTGCAGTGGATATTGCACGATTGGCCCGACGATAAGTGTGTCAAAATATTGAAGAATTGCAAAGCTGCAATCCCCAGCAAAGAGAAGGGTGGGAAGGTGATGATTGTGGACATGGTGCTTGGTGAGGAATCATTGGAAACTCAGCTGTTATTCGATATGCAGATGATGATTTGCCTTTCTGGGAAAGAAAGAACTGAAAAACAGTGGGCTGATCTTTTTACTGCTGCTGGATTTAGTAGTTATAAGATCACAAATATTTTTGGATTAAGGCATCTAATTGAGGTTTTCTATTGATCATATCGGCTTTGTTAGCATATACAATTTATTTATATTGTATAAATAATTTTTTTTGAGATATTATATCATGATCTATATATAATATTCTATTGGTCTATTAAATATGGATAAAATTTTACTATTTGTGAGTTGGTTAAAGATTTTATATTCGATAATTATTGAGTAAGCGTGTAAAGCCTAATTAGAATGATTAAACATTTGGAAGAATATTTTAGTACTTTTATATAAAATGATACAATATTTTATTAATATAATGAGATCTCTATCAATCAAATAAAGAAATATGCCTATCGTTTGTGAATATTTCTTGGTATCAAAATGTGTCTAATTAATATAGTGGACGTATGGGTTGACTTTATAATACATAAATAAATAAGTTATAGGTATGTTTTTTATATAATGGATGTATTGGTTGAGAAAAAAAATGATATACATTCGGTCAGTCTCATAATTTTGCTATTTTTAATTTTTGTGAGATTTGATAAATAATATAATTTTGATGGTTTTTTTTCACCAATTTTCTATATGTGTTTTGTTTAAAATGATTTTATAAATAGAATAATAAAGAAGGAAAAAATTGTATATAAATAAATAAATGATGAAAAAAATAGATGAGGCAATCATTATCGTGTTATTAGATCAAAAGAGGTCATATTTGAGTCACACTGCTCATTTGTAAAAGTATTGTCCAAATGTGAGATTTAATAATCATCACTGTATTGATTAGTCTGAGTAGTCAATACATAAAAATACATAATATTATACTATAAACATTGTGATATTAATTCATAATCTTCATATACTTTGTTTAAACTCAATAACAATATTCTAAGTGTAACTTTTACAATAAACATATAAAAAAAGAACGTGCAACATAGCAAGCATGCTTGTTAAAGTTGAAAAACCTCATTATCCATTTTTGGAATATGGACAAAACAAATTTTTTTTTTGCTGTTGTCGTTAGAATTGATAAATAATAACATTTGACCCAGTTGGACAGTGTTATCAACAACAACTTTGGATTGTGTTTTTTTTTTTTGCTTTACTATAATGGTGTATTCTCAAGACAAAATGGACACTTTGGGTTTATTATCTTTTGGAGTATGTAGAAACATTCAATTCCTTTTTTGTTCCAAAGGAATTAATTACATGCCTGCAACATGCCTGCTGTGGGTGCCTTAGAGCTCAGGTCTGTGGGAAGGATGAGTGTGGTGGCTTTGAGAGTGTGTGTAGTGAGAGAAAAAATGTATCAATAATCTCAACTGCAGTTCCTCCCATATTCATGCATTGAGTAAGAGTTATACACTGCTATTTCGCCGGAGAGTTCGTCGATCGAAGGGAAATCGGAGTTCCGATCAGGGAAACATTCAGATTTTGAGCAACCCAGCTATTTGTTAGTTGTTAGTTGTCAAATGCCGCTCAGGCCGTCCATCGTGACAGAGTGGGCGCCACGAGTCCCAAGAAACTCCTGCACAGATTTTCGTGCACTTGTAGGCAGCAAAAAAGGGATTTCCTTCGATCCACATCGCGGCCAGGAATCGCGAACGACGACCACGTTAGCCGCTCACGGAGCCGTCGCCTAGACGAATTTTGCGAATGGGGCTTCGCGCACGGGCACCGACAAACCCGCGTCATCGCGAGAAGTCGAATTAGCCTTATCGTTTAGAGAAAGGAGAATTCGTAAAATGAATTCTACAGGTGAACCTGCGAAAGGATCATTGTCGATATCTGCCCCGGAAGACAACAGCGAACTCGTGACCCGACATACGAATGCCGCTCAGGCCGTCCATCGTGACAGAGTGGGCGCCACGAATCCCAAAAAACTCCTGCACGGATTTTCGTGCACTTGTAGGCAGCAAAAAAGGGATTCTCTGCGATCCACGTCGCGGCCAGGAATCGCGAACGACGATCCCTTCAGCCGCTCACGGAGCCGTCGCCCAGACGAATTTTGGAACAGGGGTTTCGCGCACGGGCGCCGACGAACCCGCATCATCGCGAGAAGTCGAATAAGCCTTATCGTTTAGAGAAAGGGGAATTCGTAAAATGAATTCTATAGGTGAACCTGCGAAAGGATCATTGTCGATATCTGCCCCGGCAGACAACAGCGAACTCGTGACCCGACGTAAGAATGCCGGTCAGGCCGTCCATCGTGACAAAGTGGGCGCCACAAGTCCCAAATAACTCCTGTACGGATTTTTGTGCACTTGTAGGCAGCAAAAAAGGGATTCCCTGCGATTCAGGTCGCGGCCAGGAATCGCGAACGACGAACCCGTCAGCCGCTCACGGAGCCGTCGCCCAGACGAATTTTACGAACAGGGTTCGCGCACGGGCGCCGACGAACCAACGTCATCGCGAGAAGTCGAATAATCCTTATCGTTTATAGAAAGGAGAATTCGTAAAATGAATTCTATAGGTGAACCTTCGAAAGGATCATTGTCGATATCTGCCCTGGCAGACAACAGCGAACTCATGACCCGACGTACGAATGCCGGTCAGGCCGTCCATCATGACAGAGTGGGCGCCACGAGTCCCAAAAAACTCTTGCACGGATTTTCGTGCACTTGTAGGCAACAAAAAAGAGATTCCTAGCGATCCACGTCGCGGCTAGGAATTCCGAACGATGATCCCGTCAGCCGCTCACGGAGCCGTCGCCCAGACGACTTTTGCGGACGGGGTTTCGCGCACGGGCGCCGACGAACACGCGTCATCCAGACAATTCGAAGAAGCCTTATCGTTTAGAGAAAGGAGAATTCGTAAAATGAATTCTATAGGTGAAATTGCGAAAGGATCATTGTCGATATCTGCCCCGGCAGACAACAGCGAACACGTGACCCGACGTACGAATGCCGCTCAGGCCGTCTATCGTGACAGAGTGGGCGCCACGAGTCCCAAAAAACTACTGTACGGATTTTCGTGCACTTGTAGGCAGCAAAAAAGGAATTCCCTGTGATCCACGTCGCGGCCAAGAATCGCGAACGACGATCCCGTTAGCCGCTCACGGAACCGCGCCTAGACGAATATTGCGAACGGGGGTTTCGCGCACGGGCGCCGACGAACCCACGTCATTGCGAGAAGTCGAATAATCCTTATCGTTAAGAGAAAGGAGAATTCGTAAAATGAATTCTATAGGTGAACCTGCGAAAGGATCATTGTCGATATCTGCCTCGGCAGACAACAACGAACTCGTGACCCGACGTACGAATGCCGGTCAGGCCGTCCATCGTGACAGAGTGGGCGCCACGAGTCCTAAAAAACTCCTGTACGGATTTTCGTGCACTTGTAGGCAGCAAAAAAGGTAATCCCTAGGATCCACGTCGCGGCCAGGAATCACGAACGACGATCCCGTTAGCCGCTCACGGAGCCGTGCCCAGACGAATTATGCGAATGGGGGTTTCGCGCATGGGCACCGACGAACCCGCGTCATCGCGAGAAGTCGAATAATCCTTATCGTTTAAGGAAAGGAGAATTCGTAAAATGAATTCCATAGGTGAACCTGCAAAAGGATCATTGTCGATATCTGCCTCGGCAGACAACAGCGAACTCGTGACCCGACGTACGAATACCGCTCAGGCCGTCCATCAGACGGAGTGGGCGTCCCAAAAAACTCCTGCGCGGATTTTTTTGAACTATGTAGGCAGCAAAAAAGGGATTTCCTGCGATGCACGTCGCGGCCAAAAATCGCGAACGACGACCCCGTTAGCCGCTTACGGAGTCGTCGGCCAGACGAAATTGCGAACAGAGGTTTCACGCACGGGACGCCGACGAACCCGCGTGATCGCGAGACGTCAATAAGCCATATCGTTTAGAGAAAAAAGAACTAGTAACATGGATTCCATAGGTGACCTGCGAAAGGATCACTGTCGACGTCTGCCCCGGCAGACAGATGCGAACTCGTGACCCGACGTACGAATGCCGCACAGCCGTCCATCGAGACGGAGTGGGCGTCCCAAAAAACTCCTGCGCGGATTTTTTTGAATATGTAGGCATCAAAAGGGATTTCCTGCGATGCACGTCGCGGCCAAAAATCCCGAACGGCGACCTTGTCCGCCGTTTACGGACCCGTCGGCCAGCCGTAAATTGCGAACGAGGATTCGCGCAGGGACGCCGACGGACCCGCGTCATCGCGAGACGTCAACAAAATCATATCGTTTAGAGAAAAAAGAACTAGTAACATGGATTCCATAGGTGAGCCTGCGAAAGGATCACTGTCGACGTCTGCCCCGGCAGACAGATGCGAACTCGTGACCCGACGTACGAATGCCGCACAGCCGTCCATCGAGACGGAGTGGGCGTCCCAAAAAACTCCTGCGCGGATTTTTTGAATATGTAGGCATCAAAAAGGGATTTCCTGCGATGCACGACGCGGCAAAAAATCCCGAACGACGACCTTGTCCGCCGTTTACGGACCCGTCGGCCAGCCGTAAATTGCGAACGAGGATTCGCGCAGGGACGCCGACGGACCCGCGTCATCGCGAGACGTCAACAAAATCATATCGTTTAGAGAAAAAAAGAACTAGTAACATGGATTCCATAGGTGAGAGCCTGCGAAAGGATCACTGTCGACGTCTGCCCCGGCAGACAGATGCGAACTCGTGACCCGACGTACGAATGCCGCACAGCCGTCCATCGAGACGGAGTGGGCGTCCCAAAAAACTCCTGCGCGGATTTTTTTGAATATGTAGGCATCAAAAAGGGATTTCCTGCGATGCACGTCGCGGCCAAAAATCCCGAACGGCGACCTTGTCCGCCGTTTACGGACCCGTCGGCCAGCCGTAAATTGCGAACGAGGATTCGCGCAGGGACGCCGACGGACCCGCGTCATCGCGAGACGTCAACAAAATCATATCGTTTAGAGAAAAAAAGAACTAGTAACATGGATTCCATAGGTGAGCCTGCGAAAGGATCACTGTCGACGTCTGCCCCGGCAGACAGATGCGAACTCGTGACGCGACGTACGAATGCCGCACAGCCGTCCATCGAGACGGAGTGGGCGTCCCAAAAAACTCCTGCGCGGATTTTTTGAATATGTAGGCATCAAAACGGGATTTCCTGCGATGCACGTCGCGGCCAAAAATCCCGAACGA